CGCACCCGCCGCGAGCTCTGCGGTGCAGCGGGGGCTGGCCTAGGAGACCACCTCTCCCCGCGGTTCGGTCCCCGCATCCGCTCAGGGAAACCTGGGAGGCCTGCTAGTTGGGGAACAGCTGGGGTGCGACGCTGAGGAAATGGAGATGTTTGCCCTCCCCCTCGGCACACCTTTTTTATAAATAGAAGTTTGCCACTACTGTATTTGCCTACCCTAAAGGGAGGCGCCCCTTTCCCTGTAAGCAACGAGCACATGCCCTGCCCCCAGCACCAGCCCCTTCCCGAGCGTGCTCCCCGGTGGACCAGCCTCTGGTGGACAGAGGGGCCGGTCTCCGGGGGCCGTGGTTGCCCCTGGAAAATCGGTGCCACTGAGAACCAGGTTCTCCACCCCCAGAGATTCCCTTCCCATCCTTGGGTCCTCTCCCCCTCCTCATAGACAACTGTTTTTCCTTTTCCACAAATGATACTTTGGAAGCAATCTGCTACCCAGTGGACAGTCCTACAAGTGGCCTCCATTAGCATTGTCTGCACCGTGTAAATGCAGTCCTATACTCCCCAGGGTGCCAATCCTGGCCCTTCTCCCCACACCTCACAGTACTTCCTGCCAGTCACAGGGGTCCCCTCCCTCCTCCCCTCATCCCCCAGGCGGAGCCCACCCCAGGTTTCACTGTTGAATAAAGTAAAATGTGGTCTGTCCACAAAATATTCTTCATACATAAAAATAAAGTACTGATTCATGCTGCAACCCGGATGAACCTTGAAAACATGATGCTTAGTGAAAACAGCCAGTCAGAAAATTCCATTTATATGCAATGTCCGGAATAGGCAAAATCATAGCGACAGAAAGCAGATTAGTGATTGCCAGGGGCTGAGGGATGGGCATGGGGAGCGACTGCTAATGGGTAAGGGATTTTTTGCGGGGTGGAAATGTTCTGGACAAGGTAGATATACAACACTGTAAATGTACTAAATGCCACTTTAAAATGGTTTAAATCAGCGGTTCTCAACCTGTGGGTCGCGACCCCTTTGGGGGTTGAACGACCCTTTCACGGGTCGCCTATAAGACCATTGGAAAACACATATATAATTACATATTGTTTTTGTGATTAATCACTATGCTTTAATTATGTTCAATTTGTAACAATGAAAATATATCCTGCATATCAGATATTTACATTACGACGGTAAAAAAAAAAAAAATCAATAAAAAATATTTTTAAAATATATAAAAGTCACTAAAAATATATTTATAAAAAACAGACCCTTAGGACAGCGGTTCTCAACCTGTGGGTTGCGACCTTTTTGGGGGTCGAACGACCCTTTCACAGGGGTCGCCTAAGACCATCGGAAAACACATATATAATTACATATTGTTTTTGTGATTAATCACTATGCTTTAATTATGTTCAATTTGTAACAATGAAAATATATCCTGCATATCAGATATTTACATTACGACTCATAACAGTAGCAAAATCACAGTTATGAAGTAGCAATGAAAATAATTTTATGGTTGGGGGTCACCACAACATGAGGAACTGTATTAAAGGGTCATGGCATTAGGAAGGTTGAGAACCACTGGTCTAAATGGTAAGTTTTCATGTTATGTGTATTTATTGCAATAAAGGAAAAAACAAAACAAAAAATACATCATTGCTGTGGCATTTCTGCGTAAAGTTCACAGCCTCAATCTAATCATAAGAAAACATCAAGCGAACCAAAGTTGAGAAATATTTCTTCCAAGTAATTGACCAGTACTCACCAAGAATGTCAAGGTCATGAAAGACAAAGACTGAGAACTGTCACAATTTGAAGAAAATTAAGGAATACAACAACTAAATGGAGTACAGGATCCTGATTTGGAACTTGGAACAGAAAAGGACAAAGGAATAAGGTCTGCAGTTTAGTTAATAGCATTGTGCCAATGTTAATTTCCTGGTTTTTGACCATTGTACTGTGATTACGTATGATGTTAACATCAGGGAAGCTTAGTTATAAAGTATAAGGGAAACTTGCTAGTGTTTTTTCAACTTTAAGTCTAAAACTGTTTCAAAAATTTTTTTAAAGTTAAAAATAAAAAACAAACTTTTATTGAACATCAGCTGTGAGCCAGGTACTCTCACGTATTCCATTTTTACCGATGAAGAAACTAAGGTTCAGAAAAGTGCATTGCCCAAGCCAGTAAGTGTAATAATAGTAAACCACTGGACACTTTTGCTTGTGATCTAGTTGGTCCTTACCACAACCCTCTGAGGGAGATATTATTGTCCCTATTTTAGAGATGTGAAACTGGAGGTTGAAGAGTGAGGTGCCCAAAGTCACATAAAGGCTAGGGACAGAGCTCAGATTCAAAACCGGATCAGACTCCTATAGCCACAACACTCCCCATGGCCCCAGCACCACCCTTTGTAAGCCTTGTGGTGGTCCTTCATGTATCCCACTGTCTTCTACTTCCCGACTGAGCTGGACAGGAAGTCCTTGGAGACCGCTCTTATGGTTTACATTCCCCCACTTAATGCAACCCTGAACGCCCCATTTCATGGTTTTCCTCAGTAATCTGAGAGATGGCCTGTCTACACTTTAACTCCCCTCCCCAAATCATTTCAGTCCACCTGTCATTTGTAATGACTTAGCATTTACATATTAATTAGTCATCAGATTTTTAGACACAGGTAATGATACACCCCACACCCTCTCTCTTGTGTTTTCTGGAAGTAGTTGGGCTACATTCCCAGCTGTTGAAACCTATAAACTGCCAGAGCTTCCTTCATCTCCAGGTTAGAGCATGAGTCATTCCATAAACCCTGAGATTGGGGACCCTGTGCCAGGCACTGTGCATTAGGCCCTGGGTGCATAATCATATACAAAGGAAGATAATTACGTTCTCACAATGCCAAGAACTGGAGGGGAGTCACTGGAGAGTCCTGGGTCTCTTCTCCTCCACCCCCAGGAAGCACGAGACAGATATAACAGCCTTCTCCAACCATCCAACTCAGGCTGCTGCCAGACCTGTAGGGTTTCCTCTCCATCTGTGATGTGCACAGATCTTCCACCAGACACAGCACAAACCAGAATGTATCCATACAAACTCAGCAAAAGCTCTCGAAAAGCCTCACTGGCCTCACATGAAAGTTCAGTGAGGGCTTGTGCTATCAGAAGTCACCTGGGGTGACAATCATGATTCCCTTTGAGTTAAGTAGCTTGGAAACCACCTCCTCCCACCCCCATTGAGTTACACAAAGGCACATTCAAACGCACACGGCAGTATAAATGCATTGGGACAGATAATCACCCTATAAATCATAATACAAATATCTTGAGTTTGTGAAATACTTTACAGTTTGCAGGAGTCTTATGCCTATACGCCTTCCTTTGATTCTCACAACAGTGCTGTGAAGTGCGGGGACAGGCCACACTGGCCCCCTCATACAGAGGCAGGCATCGGAGGTCACAGAGCCAGTCCATGGCAGAAGTGCTCTAGAATCCCTGGTTTCCGAGCCTGTGATTCTCTCTGTCCCACCCCGATAGTAATAACTCCCACTATGGTCTCTATCTTCTGAGGAAACCAAAGTTGAGCTAACAAATACTATAGGGAATATTTGAACTCAGGTGAGTCCCTGAATGCCACCTTTTAACTCAGCTGCACTCAATTTACTCCTGTTCCGTCCAGTCCCTCCCTCATTGGCATTGGGTCCCTGGTACATACAAGGGGCTGCACAGCCAGGCCAAAGGCTGGTCAGAGTCAGGCTCTCAATCCAAGGTAGGGCTGGTCTTGCATCCTGGATTCCACACCCATAATTAGGGGATGTGTTACTTTGCTGTTGTGCTGTAAAAATTATCACAAATTTTGTGGCTTAAGACAACAGAAATTTATTGTCTCACAGTTCTAGAGGCCAGAAGTCCAAGG